CAGTTACAGCCTATCAGATCTAGAGGAGGGGTATTTAGGTCCAGTTCTCATCCTGCTCAGTGCCCTGTCGTGGTTTCCCTTGTGGTTGTCCGAGAGCGCGTTATTGATTCTGGTAATTTTGGTTATTTGACTTTGGCATTGTTTTTGACTTCTCTGTTTTCTGGCATCCCTGACTCATGGCTTTTCCTTATCGTTGTGTCTCTTTCTGTTTTCCTTGACCTCGGCTATTCCTGACTATTCTTTTGTACGTTAGTCCGGCCATTCTAAGGTCCGGTATACGTTACCTATCAGTCCTCTGTGTTACACAATTCTACGTGCTGGATCATTCTGTAATCCTGACAACAGAACCATGAGGGACACCACTTACCACTTTTGTCCAGCCTGAAAATTTACCATTAATGACAACTCGTTGTACTCTATCCTTAAGCCAATGTTCTACCCAAGAACAGGAATATTCATCTAGACCAATTTCTTTTAGTTTGAAGACTAACCTATTGTGAGGAACCATATCAAATGCCATGGCAAAATCCAAGTAGATCACATCCACTGCAACACCCTGATCAATACTTCTACTTACTTCTTTGTAGAATGCAATTAGGTTAGTTTGACACGACCTATTTTCATAAAACCATGTTGATTATTGCTAATAACAAAGTTCTTCCCAATGAATTCCTGAATATTATCCCTTAATAGCCCTTCAAATATTTTCCCAGTCACAGAAGTTAAGCTCACAGGTCTATAATTTCCAGGCAAGGATTTTGAACCCTTTTTAAATATAGGAACGACATCTGCCTTCCTCCAACCCTCTGGTACAATACCTGAAACAAAATATGCCTGTTATCAGTTTACAGAGCAGTTTCTAATTATCCTAAGGACATGATGAATGGAAATGTGCCAGGGGGAGTAAGCTGCTTATCCCATAAATATCTGCTGCACAGAGATTAATAGGATAAGATCATAGTTACATAGTTACATAGGCTGAAAAGAGACCTGTGTCCATCAAGTTCAGCCTTCCCCCATAGACAAGAATGGTGGGATATTGAATGGAGCAAATTTTTAAAAATGTTATAATGGCTTAAATATAATAAAAATGGCAAATTTTTAGACAATTGTATAAGGCTCTTGTGCAGGTTGAGCCAAAATTCAGAGTAGAGTTTGAGGAGTCAACACCTTTTTTTATCATTGAACCAATTTCAATGATATAACATACAATGAATGCTTAACGAATAGAAATTTGTTTGATTAGGTACGGAAAATTACATCTTTTAAATAAGCTCCATTTGCCGCCTCGCAAAGTCTTTTGATTACATTGCTCATAATATCAGTTAATGTTTTAAGCGCTAGCGTTTGAATTTCTGCACGGATATTCTCCTTGAGCTGCTTAAGTGTACGCGGTTTGTTCATGTACACTACGTCTCCAAATATCCCCACAGGAAGTAATTGGGAGCTGAAAGGTCAGGTGAACGTGGCGGCCAATTAATCTGGAAAAAAATTTAAAGTACCCTGTCACCGAACAGTTGTCTCAGTTTTAAAATTAAAATTCCACTATTGTTCCTTTGTAAATTTACCAACGATGAATCTCCCAAGACTCAGATATAATATGTACCTGCAACAAAAAAGTTATCTTCCTATCAAATCCTACTCTGAATTTCTGCCCACCCTGTGTATGACACGAGTGTAATCAAATTAACAGCATACGCTATATTACTATACAGATAAAGTAGCAAAGAGAAAGAGAGGTTGAAATGTGATTGGTTGTACTCACCAGTACTCTACCAGGAACACCACTGTAAATATTATGTCATCTTTTTTTATAATTACTTTTTATTTATTTTATTTCTCTTTTCTTTTTTTTTTCTTTTTTTTTTTGCTCTATGCCAACGGTAAACAGTTGGGAAAGAAACTCCATGTTTGATGTGCATTTAGAAGATTTTGAGGATTCATATTTGTCTAATTTGAAATGTTACCATTTATAGTACAAAACTTGATTGTTATTGTGTTTATTTTTGATTTGTTAATGGAAAGCTTAGTAAACAAATGCATTTTTATTTTATTTTTTGCAAATCTTCATTTAAGAATTTTACAGTATACAATGGTAAATAAACAAGGTACAATCGTACAGGCGAAATTAATAATAACTCAAGATGTGTTCACCCCCACACATGCAGGGGCCCACACAATGCTAAATCAAAATACAGAGAATAGCTGTGCTCAAAGTTGCTGCATAGCGAGTCTTTAGCTGCGCATGGGCTCCACTGTACAAATGCATTGTAATGTTTTGGAAAAATTTGAGAAATATTTAAATAAAATCCCAAATCAAATATATACAAACAAACATCAAACAGTACATGTGTAATAACTCAGTCAATAGGACTGGCATATAGTTTACACTGGTTTTTAAATGCATTTATTTTGTTTTAAACAATAAATTGCATTATAATCTTTACATTATCTCAGTAAGTACGTTTGACAACTGCTTTTCAAGTAATATGCATTCTGTGCAAAAGCTTGTGACATTTTTAACGATGTGTCTGCAGAATTGTATTTTTTACTCACGTCTGCATTAAACTATTCTCCGCTTCAAAATCCCTTTTTCCAAAGCTTTGCATTGATCTCAAAACAAACTATTTAAGTTGGAGTAATCCGGCTACCCAAGCTGTTCAGCTGATACACGGCAAAGAAACGTTTATCTTGAGCTCTGTAAACTCACTCTAGCAATTTTCAGAACTTGTTGGTAGTCCATTTTTGACAACCCAGCAAGAGACCAAACAAGAGAACAAAAAAGTGTCACTCACAAAATATATGTCTTAGTTCACTGAATACTATCTGTTGGATAGTTGGATATTACTTTTATATATCCTGTCAACTGTGAGCTGTGATGAGCCTCATGCAAACGTTAGTCTACTGTTTGACTATGCCATTTGAAATGATAGACTCACAATGTTTGATGCTTTGTAGCTTTTCTAGTTTTCCTACAGGACGTGTTTTGCAGGCGTTGGCATGTATGTGACATTTATTTTTTTGACATAAAGCAGAATGATTGGTTTGTCAAAACCCAACTCTAAATTATTCATATACATCACTTAATATGCCTATCTCTACACATACTTACAATTATTAAGTCTCCCATTGTTGTATATGACAGTCAGGATTTTTTCACAGTAGGAAGACACTGAACAGTGAGATTTTCAAAATGTTACAGTAAGTCATATAAATGGTGGTAAATAGGAATAAAATGATAACAGACTGTCTAAAAGCTCCAGTGAATGCATTATGCTTTAGGAGGTTCTATTGCATAGTGTCCACTTTGGACTGCATAAACTACAATACATTACAGGGTGTAGTTACTGAAGTAAGAATTAAAAGTGAATTTCAAATGAAAGGCCACAGTGGCTGAACTGAATGCATAGCTGTCTTAGAGAATGTTTCCAGTTTAACTTAATGTGAAATTCACCCTGAATTCTCACTTATGAAAAAAAAAAACATTTAGATTATAGGTAACTTAAGGGAGCGAGCTACAATGAAGAGATGCAAGGTTATAATACATTATAGGGTTACGGGACACTATGGGGTCAGGAATACAAACACGTATTCCTGACCCAGTAGTGTTAAACCACCAGGCAGATCAGGGGCAGAGCCAGCACAAGTCAAACACAGCCCTGGCCAATAATCATCTCCTCATATAGGTGAATTGAATAAATTAATCTCTATAAGGAAAGTTCAGTGTCTACATGCAGAGGGCATGTCTACAAGTTCAGTGTCTACATGTGCAGCAATGCCCCAGGAAGCACCTCTAGTAGCCATCTGAGGAGTTTCCAGTGGAGTTATCACTTGGCTGTAATGAAAAGACAGTGTTTACAGCAAAAAGCCTGAAGGTAATGATTCTACTCACCAGAACAAATGCAATAAACTGTAGTTGTTCTGGTTACTATAGTGTCCCTTTAAGGAAACATGTTTCTATGGGTAACCAACTTGGGCATAACCTCCTCATTAAAAAGCACCTGCTAAACAAATTGGGATTTTTATGGTGCAAATATTTATTTATTGTTATACTGTGCTATACAGTGCAAATGCTTTTTCACTTTTTAAGGTTTTAACATATGCCTGTATTTCTTCGGCATAGAACTATAAACTAAGTACAGTGTTGGTTACTGTGGACGACTGACTGTACACATATTCTTCATTTGATTGACCGTGAAGGGCAGGGCATATAATGATTGACAGCGAGGCTTCATGAAGGTCCTTCGTTACAATATCGAGTAAATAAGGTGCTGTGGAATTCGTTGGAATCCATTTTACTTTTTGTGTCTCAAAAATGCATTTGTTAATTATAGGGGATAAGTAAATGTGTGATTAGACTGGAAAATGACAGGTCCCTTTTTTTTTTGTATTCTTTATTTTTGTTGTGCGGGTAGGTACAAAGTTTCCACAAATGCCACAACAGCGTGTATAAACACATATCAACATATGAAAGAGTTTAACAATGGCATGCGTAGTCGCACATTTTTTTTGTTTCTATGCACAAACAGGGTTCAACATTTACTGCCCGTAGGTCATTCAACATTTAGCTGTAATGGATTAACTGAACAAGGCATAAGACATGGTAGTTGCATGAAAAGTTACATCCTGTCTTAGACACAATTATGCTTAAACGGCCTCATTAGCTGTGTGTATAATTTTTGATAAGCCTGAAATTGAACTGACTAAATTATTGGTCGTATGTCTTGGAAGAGCTAATGTATATCGCGGATGGGCTGAGGATTGGTGTGCATGGTCTGCCCATTTGATAGTAATAGGTTGTTAGGTCTAAGGTAAGGATTTAAACAGTATAAACAGTAAGATGTGTTCTAGCGTATGCCCCCAGGAGGCAACCCCCATTAGGTGTGAGTGTGGTAGTTAAGCCTGCTAGATAATACTGGGGTTTCCGACAGTGTATACATATGATAAGCCCCAGCACTGCCATGTTGTGATAGCGAGCGGCCAAAGGCCTTACTCACAGCTCAGTCCCGGAGCCCCGGACAGCCTATGCCAGCCAGGGGTACAGCACAGTTCCACTTCGAGTAGTCACACTGCATGGCAAGGCCCCTGATTGCGGGCAGGTAGGTCGATTCTTTAGTCACTTTTGGGGTCCCTTTCCACTTCTCTGGCTGTGACCTTATTTGTATTCCCCTGTGTGGCTTCCGTGGTGCCGCTTTGCGTCTGGGTGAAATGCGGTACTTGATGCGCCGCCATGTTGGGACTTTATCCGCTGGTGGAGCTGAGGGCTTGGGAGGGAAATTTCGTGGTATGCGGTGAGTATTCGCTGGTGGAGGGGCAGGACATCTCATCCGCCGTTCCAGTTGCCGCCAAAAATTTGTGAAGTGCCAGTCTAGCCTGGTGAGAATGTCGTCTTGGTCAGCACCGGTTCGTGGAGGCCATGCCGCATCCGCCATGTTTGGTGATGTGCCGCTTTCCCCTGTCGTCCAGGGCGCTTCTGTGTGAGCTGGGTAACCTTCCTGGGGTGGACCGGGATCACCCGCCCGGCCCAAAAGGGGGGAGCAACGGAGTCTCGACGTGTGACTGGCATCCTTCTGGCTTCTCCAGTCCAGGGGTTCGGCCGCAACCCCCACCCGGCGTGCACCAGGCCGCAACAGCCAAGGTGGAGCTACATGTTTCCCAACGGGTCTTTGTCCACTTCTTCGCTTAGTCGGTGAGTTGGAGGTAAAGGGCTTTGCTTGGTTTGCCCAGTCTTGAGCTATTTTAGGTTTAATGATGCTTTTAGTTGCTGGGCCATAGAGGAGCTCCTCCAAAGCACGTCTGCTCTCCATTGCGGTCAGGCCCCGCCCCCCCATGACAGGTCCCCTTTAACGATGATTCCAACAGTTTAATATAACATACAATATTTTCCTCTGTAACTTGTGGCCAAACAAATGGCCTTTATTTCATCCATTTGAAAATACAGAAGTTATCCTTGAAACCATAAAGCCAGTAGATATGTTCCCATAGCAGCAAAATTACTAGTGCTCACTGCTTCCTTCCTTTTTCCAAGGAGAGTTCATGGTTTTATGTTGCATATACAGTATGTAGTCTTGATCCCTCTCACTAAGGTTATCCAGTAATAATGTATTCAGAGATATATGTTTTCCAGGAAATCATTTTGTCCTTCAGTGCTGCACACAGTCTACGAGTCCTTTATGTAAGCATAGTGGTTGCTTGTATTCCAAGTTAGAACAATCTCATTGAATTTCTACCGATAACTTAGCTACTAGAAACCTACAATAGCAGGGACTTAGCAAGGACTCTGAGCTTAGCATTCATGGCTGCTATACCTGCTATGTGGACTGCAGACAACCAAACTCGAGAGGTCCATTCGCTAAACAGCTACTTGAAAAACATTACAAAAATTTTGATTTCAAAAAGTTGGACATTTTATAAATAATTTATTCCATGGGTTCTAGTCACTGCTCAGCTATTTTGGCCTAAATTTGCAATTGGGATTTCAGCTCATCATAACTCAATGTTAAACCCTTGAGAGCAGTGATTCCCATCCCAGCACACTGGACTAATGGTCCTAGATTGTCAGTACTAAGATAGGAACAGAGGTGGACAAAGCTAAAGTGTACCTTGCGGACTGGGTTGGGAACCTATGCTCTATTGAGTTAGACACTTACTCAACCTTTCCTATATACTAAGCAAAAAAATATGGAGTGGTGTCCATTTGAGAGAAACAATTTATTTTTCCCAAGTCCGTGCAAGACATTCATGCAATAAATACACACAAGCACATCTGTTGGTAATAGGCTGACAATTCAGCTCTTATTGTATCACAGGGGTTGACAAATGTATTTACAGCTTGTAGATCCAGACAGGTCCATTGTAAAACCACTATTATATTTAGTTCTACTAAGAAGGCTAAGAGGATCTGTTGGTTTTTAACTGAGTAATACCTTTACAACTTCATTTCTTAGCTATCTGCAAAAATGACCACCTGAATCTGTGTTTGGGTGTTGAACAGTAAGGTGTACAATTTCCTCTGACTGTCAATTAGGCAACCGGTCCAGTTACTCTCTGGTTTGGTTAGCTCAGTGGAGATAGACTGAAGAGACAGCAATTGCTTTTAAAGTACCTGTCTTTGAAATACTTCTCAATGAGCTGTAGTACAACTCATTAACACACTGAACATACGTTTTCCTGCATTCACATACTGACACTACACATACATCACTGCATTCACACACACTGACCCCAAATGCCTCATTTATCTTTTGTTTATGTTATCGTTATTTTGTCTCTGCATACACAGGGGCGTATTAGCCGCGAGGCAAACAAGGCATTTGCCTTGGGCGGCATTTTTCAGGGGGCGGCAAAAAACGCCGCCCCCCAAATGCCCAGGGCAAATGCCTAGTTAGCCTTGCGGCTAACTGACATCCCGGCGCTGGCAGGGGGGAAAAAATCACTAAAACATCTGGTCATCTTCTGGCTCCCAGCCTCACTCTGCAGCCGGCGCGCGAGGGAGCTGAGCAGTCAGCTCATAGGAAGTGCTCCCTCGCCAGCCGCCCGCCTGCCAGCGCCGCCTGCCCGACCTGCAGCCACTGGACCACCGGACCACCAGGGAGAGAGACCCCCCCCCCAGCACTCCCAAAGGTAAGGAGGTTGGGGGGGGGATTTAAATTTAAAAAAAAGTTAATATGTGTGTGTGTTTGTGTCTGACTGTGTTTGTGAGTGTGATTGTGTGTGTTTGTGTCTGACTGTGTATGTGTGTGTGTTTGTGTCTGACTGTGTTTGTGTATGTGTGTGTGTGTGTTTGTGTCTGACTGTCTGTGACTGTGTGTGTGTGTTTGTGTCTGACTGTGTGTGTGTATGTGTCTGACTGTGTGTGTGTGTGTTTGTGTGTGTTTGTCTGAATGTGTGTTTGTGTCTGACTGTGAGTGTGTGTGTGTGTGTGTGTCTGACTGTGTGTGTTTGTGTGTGTGTCTCTGACTGTGTATGTGTGTGTGTGTTTGTGTCTGACTGTGTTTGTGTCTGTGTATGTGTCTGACTGTGTGTGTGTGTTTGTGTCTGACTGTGTGTGTGTGTATTTAGAAGGTGGGGCGGGGGGAAGGGTTGGGTGGGGGTGGCGCGGGGGGAGGGGGGCGCCTGAGTTTTGTCCTGCCTAGGGCAGCACAAAACCAGGATACACCACTGTGCATACAAGCTCTTTAATGCTTAGTGGCACTTAGCGTTCTAATGCTATACGGTAGTGTAAAAATAAAATAAAACATTCTACAAAATGACAGTTACTCTTTAAAGGACCACTATAGGCACCCAGCTTAATGAAGTGGTCTGGGTGCCAGGTCCATCTAGAATTAACCCTTTCTGCTGTAAACATAGCAGTTTCAGAGAAACTGCTATGTTTACAAATGGGTTAATCCAGCCTAATCCAGCTAGAGGCGCTTCCACACTTCTCACTGTGATTTTCACAGTGAGAAGACGTCAGCGTCCATACGAAAACATTGAGAATGCTTTCCTATGGACTGGCTGAATGTATGTAAAAAGTATGTTTTCCTGGCACTATAGTGGTCCTTTAATTTGTGCCTTAACACACTGGTTGTTTTGCATGGAATATACTTTTTTATGGCCTCAAACCTAATGCATATTTGTTTTCTGACTTAACTTTGTTGCTTAATCCAAATACTCTGCCAACTACCTATCCAAACACTGATCTACTTTTTGTTATTTTGGCAGTATCCAGGTCTGGGCTCACGAGCCAAAACGTAAGGTAACAAGATAGGCAGTATTAGACTTTGTGATGTATTCCAAACAAGGCTATGTTTTGACCTCACATTATAATCATAGATTTATTTATAGCTGATAACGTACCCTCCTACAATACTCTTTGCCCTCTAAGCATGTCTAGGGTAATTGATTTTTTTAAAACCTCTATTATATCATACCATACTGCTTAGTACCAAAACTAGTTTTGTTTAATGTGTTGCTCTGTTTTCTACATACAGTTCTATATAAAGATTATCTAGTTTTAGGGGGCAAACGTAGAAAGCTTTAGCTATTGAACTATTCCCTATGATGTTTTTTATTTTTATGCTAAAAGGTATCTCTGTTAGTGAAACCTTATGCCTTAGCAAACACATTTCTGTAAGCATTTGCCGCTCAATGGCATTATTTTTAAGTATTGCATGCTTCAGAATTATACTGATATTTTATAATAAAAACTTTGTGGGGGAGCGGGGGTCACCATGATATTTAAGTGTTTCAGAAAGAATAAACTGCCTCACCAGCTGTATGTAGAATTACCGTAACGTGCAAAGTCTGCAGGGGGGAAAAAATCACTAAAACATCTGGTACAGTTGGATTGAGAAGCAACATTTTTTTTTCCTGTTTACACTTGATTTTCATGGATTATTCTAAAAATTGAATATCACATTTTTTTCTGTTAATAACATTTTCCTAATATTTAAGCCGTACCTACTTTCAAAAATGTAATGCTAAAAGCATAGCACGGAATCCAATGATATTTCAATATCCCACTGTTTAAAAGCGGTTTAGGATTTTACATAGTAACGCCAGGCCGTGGAATATCTGACTGGTTGGTTTTATTTGCTTCTGGAAAACAGCTATTTCTGTTAACGCTGTGTTATCTAGAAGCATTTGTATAATGTTTCTACACCTTTGACCAACAGCAATCAAACCTTCCACTCACCATTAGCCATTGGCAAGTGAAAATTCAGCCTTGACAAGTTGAAATTCACCCATGGTGGTTGTGCCATGGACCCTGTTAGGCCTTGTTAGTAGCATAGGTCTTCCATATATAATTTATTTATAAAATATTTTACCAGGAAGGATACATTGAGATTTCTCTCCTTTCAAGAATGTCCTGCATCTACAAACACTGCATCGTTACAGTATGGTTGAAATATTTGTAAATATACAAAAACAATATTAATGCACAACTATACAAATTTAACATAGAACAGTTAAGTTATATACTCAACCATGACAGGTGCATTCTGTTTTGAGTTACGTAGAGAAGGCTCTTTTAAAGGACTTTAGGCCTGGGAAAGATTTGAAAGTGTGCTGGAGGTCGGTCCATAATTGCAGTGTTCTGTAGGAAATTGAGGATCGAGCCTTTCTTTTTGTATTGAGGTAGACTAAATAAAGTGCTGGTACTGGATCAGAGGTTATAGGAGGTGGGAACAGCTGGGAAGAGCAACATAGTCAGGTAGAGTGGGAGCTGCCCAGAAAAGCCCTTAAACATATATATTGGGCCATAATTTAGAGTGGGAATTAAAGATTCAATAACTTTTTTTATTAATTAACCAATTTCAATGATATAACATACAATGAATACTTAATGTATGGAGATTTGTTTTGACTAGTTACGGAAGATGACATCTTTAAAATGAGCTCCATTTGTCGCCATTTGTTAGACTCTTTAAATTACATTGTTCATAACATTAGTTAATGTTTGAGGCTGTAGCCCTTGCATTGTGCACATATATTCTCCTTGAGCTACTCAAATGTACGTGGCTTGTTCATGTACAGCGCTTCTTCAGATATCCGAACCGGAAGCAATCTGGAGCTGAAAGGTCGGGCATGCATGGCAGCCAACTAATTGGTGAATTTCTTGAAATTATGCGCTTGCCAAACAATTGTCTCAGTTCTGAAAATAATAACCCACTATTTTTACTTATTGTTCCTTTGTGAAACTACCCATGATGAATCTCCCAAGACTCCGTTATACCTGCAACAAAAAAATATTACTAACAAATAAAGTTATTTACTGGTTAAATTCTAGTCTGAATTGTGGACACACACACACACAGTCCTGCAC